GTTTCTTTTGTCGATATTTATTTATTGCTAGCACTCATTTCCATCTTTGATAGATCTATGCATTCAATGGTTATTATAGAAAGGATTGGAAGAAGGGTACATATATATTGCCACTACAAATTACATTACATTATAATTAATACACCACAATAATTTTACTATTATAGCCGTAGTTCAACTATATATAATAATAAGAAAAACTAATATTATGATGTAAACCGAACCAAAAAAGAAAAGAAGATTTTCAATTCCACCCCATACCTTAAAACGCTACCCAAGTGGTCGAAACACGCAAAATCACAAAGTTACAACCGTCGTCGCATCCTCACCCACCTACCACTACCACACTCGAAATTGAGCCTCTCGTCACCCTCACCTCCTATTCGCATATAGCAAAGGCAAAGGAAGACAAACACATTTGTCCCACACCAACCGTCAAAACACCATCACTAGACCTTGTACACATTGATCCACCGCAGAATAGATTCCATCATATTTAGATAATGTTGAGTATTCAACTACGACGTAAAAAATGCAGATTATTTTTTATGAGTTTGGAGGAATTTTATAAAATAAGCATTTGGAACAGTGTTTTTATAATTTATTGAAGAGGAGTACTTTATTTAGGGCACTTATGACAAAAAAATTTCATAAAGTTTTACTAAATTTTGTTAAAAATTGATGATTAAAAAGTTGATAAAATATGTGAATGTCGTTGAATGTTTGGTTAGAAATTAAAGTTTGATATGTGAATTTTATCGAACTATCTTAAATATTTGGTTTGTCGTTAGTCCAACCCAACAAGGAATAGCTAGCAAGAAACCCACTGCCTACTCGATGAAGCAAACCAGTCCGAGTCTTATCTGCCCCAACCAAACCCACCAAAAATCTCGGAAGTTCCCAAAAATTCTGGGTCCGCCAGACTCATCTCTACCTCTCAATTTCTCTTCTGTCTGTCTGTCCTCGTCAAATACAAATAAACAATAATTCCAGAAAGCAAACTATTATGGGTTTGGATTAGTATAGCATATAGCGGGTGGATAAGAATGCGACGGATGACGATTTGAAGAAAGCTTATAAAAAACTGGCCATGAAATTGCATCCTGACAAGAATCCAAACAAGAAGAAAGAAGCAGAGGCCAAATTCAAACAGATTTCTGAAGCCTACGAGGTACCTACCTAACCTAATAATATGGTCTATAAGAAGAGTTCTCAAGATATGAAGTTTTGATGGCTAGACCCCATTTTGTATAAGGGCAAACTGGTCATTTGACGTCATTTTGATCAAAAAGTTTAGGCCCACCTCCCCTGACACTTATTGTTACATTTTTTCTACACTTATTGTCAAAAAGATTATTTTTTTGTGAGAATCCTGCAGAATTTTGTTTATTTAATTCGGTTTTATCATCCCGGGTGATGTAAAAAATGTTATATCGACTAAAGTTGGTTTGTATTGGTCTGTATTTCTTTGAATGATCGATCTACTTTTTATCACTTTATTGCCAAATTTGGGAATTCAGTTGCGGATACTTGATCATTTCAAATTCTGTTGAATTTTATCTTCAATAAGCTGTATTTATCTGTGTATTGTTATCATTAGAGGTAATACATGTTAGAACAAAAAATTCAGAAAGAATGGGAGAAAGAGAACAAATGTAGCAGCAAGAAACACAAAAACTGGAAATAAGACTTGACTCAAACATATTTGCCCCCCCTCTGGAATTGATTTTGATTTTGGTGCTCAAAGGGACTCGTGAAAAAGAAAAATACTAAAGTACTTGTGTTTTTCTCCAAAACTTGAAGAACATTTGAAGGTTGAATATGTATGTAAGAATTGGGAAAAATTCTTTCAAAAATGAAATGAATTATGAATTCTTGTGTTCAGAAATGGAAAACTATCACCTATTTTTCCATCAATACACCATGAAAAGGCTCCAATCACTCTTGAAAGTTGAGAACTTTTCATGAAAAGATGCCATTAAATCAACTCGTGAAACCAACCTAACGGCTAGTAATTTCACAAGCCATGTGCACGCATGGTAGTGAGCCATGCGTGCACATGGTTCACCTAGTTTGGCTTCTGCCTCTACAGCGCATGGCCTTAATCTGATGTGTGCTCATGGGCTAACATTATAGTCCCAAATTCCCATGGTTGATTTTAATCGATGTTCGATCTTTTTTCTCTCTTTTTTTTTTCCCAATTCTTTTGTCTATGATTTTGAATGCAACGGATGCGATGGAAATATTTATCGATGATTTGTGTTTATCTATGTATTATTATGGATGAAATATACTTAAAAATGAAATCTTTGGTTTTCGAGTCCATTTAGAGGGATGGGTGTTGGTAGTAGCATGAGGAGCGGTGGTACTAGGTTTTCTAGTTCAATGTTCGGTGGTGACGATATATTTAGTTCATTCGGAGAGGGTACACCAACGGATTCAGCCACGCGGAAGGCACCACCAATCGAACAAACATTGCCTTGTAGCCTGGAAGAGCTCTACAAGGGAACCACAAAGAGGATGAAGATCTCCGGAGAAATAGCTGATGCCAGTTGGTACTTGCTTCTGATTAAAGGTGCTTTTAAGCTTAAACTGACATTCTTTATTGGATGTATACTTGCTAATCTCTTGTGGGTTTTGTTTATTTATTGGATCTCTAACTGCAATCGTTCTTCTTGAACAGGAAGACATTACCAGTAGAAGAGACTCTTACCATTGATATAAAACCTGGTTGGAAGAAGGGGACAAAGATCACATTCCAGGAGAAAGGAAATAAACAACCAAATGTTATTCCTGCTGATCAATATTTATAGTTGACGAGCAGCCACATAGCGTATTCACGAGGGAAGGTAATGATCTCGTTGTTGTGCAGAAAATATCACTTGCCGAAGCAATAACAGGATACACAGTCCATCTCACGGCACTGGACGGGAGGACCTTGACTATACCCATCAACAACGTTATTCATCCCAACTATGAAGAGGTTGCGCCCAAAGAAGGAAACCCCATTCCAAAAGAACCCTCAAAAAGGGGAAATCAATTCAACATAAAGTTCCCGACTGGGTTGACAACTGAGCAGAAATCCGGTATCAAGAAACTACTTGCCCCTTAATCCAAGTAGTAACTCTTTGCTAGTTGTGGCGACGTTTTATTGGAAATATACCATTTTTTGTTTTTTATTTTGTTTTGTCTGAATCAGGAGAATTGCATTCTAAGAATGATATTGTCATTGCAAGTGTCCCTTAAAATGCCTTGTTCTGAAGAAGACTACACAAATAAGATTGCCAATAAATATTGCTCGTAATCTTATGCTGGAAATATTAGTTAGCTAAAGGTCTCTCTCTCATTAATTCCCAGTTACACAAAGCAGAATCTTGATTCTCATATAAACTGATAGTATTGTAACAT